TGGGCTTGGTTTTTCTGGTTAGAGGACTGAAAGGCTCTGGAAAGGAGAAGTTCAGCTTCAACATCTCTTGGCTTGAATTTCAGTTTGAAAGTATAGGTAATGCACTGCATGGCACCTTGTCATCTAAATAGAGCGCCAAGTGCACCCATCTTAATGTCAGTCACTTACTGAGACTTGCTAGCAGGCCAGGCAGCGTAGTGCTTACAATGTGCAAGATCTGTAGTTCGAAGCCACCAGAACGTGGAAAGGACTTTCTACTCCTATAAAGAGTTGAAGTCTTGGAAGCGCACAGGGCAGTCTGCTCTGCCCTGTAGGGCCCCATGAGTCGGCATCAACCGGATGACAGCGAGTTTGGACTTTGGCACTGAGACTAGACCAGGCGTTTTCCCAGCAAACTGGACAGAGGTGGTACTAGGTTCTTAGAAGACTAGCAGGGAGACGAAGGAATATCAAAGTAGTGAAATAAGATTGAAAAGTTAATGCCTTCCAACTGCCCTGAGCCTTTCAAACAGATGTGCGATTTCATTTGAACATTTCTTGTGCCTGTCGCGTTTTGAGCCTGGTGCTCGAGATCTTGGAATCATCCGTTGTCTGTCTTTTAAAACCAGGCTGCCATTTGTCGCTGTAGCCAGCCCCTGTCCGGATTCAGCGCCAGGTGCCTGGAGGACGAGCATCTGCTGCAGGCCGTCAGTAAAGCCAACCCCGTCAACCGCTACATGTACGTCATGGACACGCGGCCCAAAGTACGTATGAGGCGCTGCTCGGCGCGCCGGCGTTCACAGCACCTGTGTCGTGCTAGTGCCTAGGAGCTGCTGCCTCTGCCTGCATTCACAGTCCACACCCTAGCTTCAGAGTGGTCGAGTTAGAGCTCTGCTGCTGAGGAAAGGATTGAAGGATGAATGTGCTTCTTTCACATGGTCACATCTGGCTGGCTGCCGCTGACAGTGCTTTGCCCACGCTTGAAAACTCTGATTCCACATTCAGTCAAGTTTTCTCAACTCTCGAAGCTGACAGGGTGCCGGCAGCCTGTGTTACATCATCCCCCAGCAGGTCTGGGATGGCAGTCCACAGCCACACAGTAATATTCTAAACATACCCATCAGGGCATTTTTACTCACTGAGGATAAGCAGAGATTAACGATAGCCTCACATGAGGCAAGACTGCCACAGGCACCCTACTCCTCCCTCTTAAAAATGTTTGCTCCCTGATACTGGATTTTACTGTTCTCTGTTGTCTCAGAGGTGGGGAGACCCTCCAAGAGTAAGGTGCCCACTGGCCGTGTGTGCACACACAGGCGTGTCATTCAGAGGATGCTGACTTAGATCAGCGTGGGGACTGCATACCTCCCATCTCTTACTTTGTGGATCTGTGGGTTTAGGAAAATCAAGCTATGATTAGACCAGGGGACCTTAGAAAGTTTGTGACTATATTCCATTATTTGTCAATTTCATTTTTTCCACAAAATGTCTGAAGCCCCCATGCTTTACATATCTTACTGTGACAAAATAGTAAGTAGTATATATGTTGTAAAAAATCAGAAATTCTTTTTATTCTTGGTGGTGGTTAGGTGCTGTTGTGACTCATAGTGGCCAATGTACATGTACAACATGTTCTGCCCTATCAAGTTTTTAATGGACTCCATGCTTTGTGTTAAAACAATAGACCTGTAATTAAAACATTCTTCAAGAAAATGAGGACAGCAGATAGTACCTTAACGGAGGAAATGTTACTCCAAGGGATGAGCTATACTGAACTGGGATGCTAGCTCTGTTCGCCACCTAGAGTGTTAGCTTAGCCTGTTATCACTGGGACACATCTCAGAACCTTCCCCTCCCCTTAGCAACCCAGACGCTCAATTCCTATAGGCCCGTGAACTCCCAAGGACAACAGCTAACGTGACTTTCAATTTTCATTATAGCATCGCGTGCAGAGCTGGTGGGCCTCACAAAAGGACATCGGCAGAATTATAGTGATGATGTCTTCAAAAATCTGGAGTGAGGAGAGACTAAGAGAAAGCGATGAGAGGAAGCGAGTGAGCGATGTAGCACGCACAGCCGTAGGCAGCCTGGTGGCGGGAAGGGGAGCTGTCTTAGATGTGCCCCCGTCAGGACGCTGTCTCCCGTGGCCAGAGCTGCTGGAGAAGACAGAGTTAATCCTAGAGGAGTGGCCATCTTCTCGGAAAAGTAGAAAGGGTGTCTGTTCCCTTCGATAATCGTGCATTCTGAAAGAACTTGCTTGGACGGCAGAAGTAACATCTCCCATGAGAAGCACCTCTGGCCGCCTGTAGAATCGGGGTGGCTACATCCCTGGGAGCCGCTTGTAGGGTTATTGTAGGTAACACTCGGGACTAGGACATACCTCTGCCTGAAGGTGAGGTCTGAGGGGTGGGTTTGGTCTCTGGGGCTCTGAAACTCCACGTTTGTACAACGGCCTTCGACACCGGAACTAGGTCTGCTCTCTGTCTTAATAGCCAGGCTTGAAGTCAGGTGGGGAAGGAGCCCTGGAGGCGAGTTGGTGGTTGGCTGTGGGGACCCACCAGCTGCCCCTTGGAAGCGAGATGTGGTGGTCTGCTTCCGTAAAGGTCTCCAGCCTCAGGACCCCTGTGAGGGCGGCTCTGCTCTGTCCTTTATGGCCACTCAACAGCAGGGGATTGTACCCCTCTATCGTAAGGAAGCATTTTAAGTGTGACTTAATTTTACTTGTGCTAAATAGCCAGTGAATCTAGAGATAGAACTTCACAGTCGTGTCCCGGCTCGGGACCCTGATCCAGCGAATGAGAAGACAGGTTGTCTTCCCACGGGGTTTTGTTTGCTTGGGCTCAGGAGAGCATGTGGTACTGGTCATGGTGAAACCGCAGCAGGTAACCTTGCTTTTCCAGGCCTCCAAAGTATACCTGCCCTGCCCGTGGGGGCCTATCCCCTTCCTGTGGGGAGGTTTAGCAAGGACTGTTTGAATGGCCCTCCTCTGATAGGCTCCCGTCTGAGCCACGCTCTCCTCTTGCTGGTTTGACTACGGGGCTTTAGGAAATCTGTTTTGGTAGAATCAAAGGGGCCAAAGCCCAAGTGAGCCCCTGTTGCCTGGGCATGAGTGGAACAGAACCACAGTGGACAGTTTACACAGTGCCTTTCACGCTCTGGATTAGGGTGCCGGGTGGTGACAAGTCCCGTGAAGTCGTATCTCTGGGCTCACTGGTGATTAGCACAGCTGGTGACTTGGGTTAGACTAGAGAGGCTTCCGGGCAATGCGTGTGCTTCTAGAGCCCAGTCCAGCCTGGACTACACTCTTGGAGATGACTGGGATGGAAGATTCAGGCCCGCACTGGTGACTGGGGGGTGCCTGCAATCTTCTCTGCTATGGGGGACCAGCAGTAGCCTAAGGCATATTTGGGGATCCCCCTAAGTTAAGAGTGCTCGGCTGTTCACCAAAAGGTGGACGGTTCGAAACCACCAGCCACTTCTGTGGGAGCGGTGACAGTCAGCTCCCGTGCAGGTGCACCCCCTCAGGAGCAGCTCTGCTCTGCCTGTGGGCTGCTGGGAGTCGGAATCAATTCAGCACCAGTGGCTCTGGGTTTTGTTCTTGTTGGTGGCTTTCTGAACGAGCCAGTGCCCCTAGGTTGAGTCTTCACAAGTAAAGCTGCTCACCTCACAACCCTCGCTGTGTAGGGTGTAGACAGGAGACATTTTTCTATCTTAAGCTGAGAGAGATTGCGAACAGGGAAGACGGGCTCACAGCTTAACGAGCTTGCCTCCTGGTTTCTTCGTGGGCAGCTCCGTCTGGGCCCCCAGCAGGCAGCGCCCTCCTCCCCTGGCTCTGGCCCCGATAGTGCTTCCCCTCAGTCAGAAGTCGTGGCCTGCCCAGTGTTGGTGAACTCCTGCAAACCTACTGCTGAGTCTGGCGGGTTCTCCGCCACATTTTGATCAGCTTAAGCTCAACGGCAGGTGGAATTTGTGGCCAAATTTCTGAACCCTTCCACTGCAGCTGAACGCCATGGCCAACCGAGCCGCAGGGAAGGGCTACGAGAACGAGGACAACTACTCCAACATCCGCTTTCAGTTTGTCGGCATTGAGAACATCCACGTCATGAGGTCCAGCCTGCAGAAGTTACTGGAAGGTACGATTCCTACCTATCTCCTGGGTGCCCCTGCCCAGTAGAGATGCTCATGCCAGCCGAAATGGTTCCCATCAGGAAGAGCCAAAGGGGAACAAAGCAACAGTCGGAGGGTACAAAGTGAAGTTACTTTATGTACATGGATTGTATTTGACCCCCAAACCAGAACTTTTCTTTTAACGTGTAAAAAACAAAACAAAAAACTGAACAATGAGCACGTTTACTCTTTTTAAAGACCAGGTCGTAGACTCCAGGAGGTGTGCTGCCCCTCCGTGTGCAGTGGCTGTGAGTGGCGTGTTCGGTTGCCCGGGCTGGGAGCAGTCACGCCCCGGCCTTGCTGCCGTCCCATGAGACTGACATCCCGAGGTGTCAAGAGTAATGAAATCAGTCTGGGGCAGGCCGGGGCAGCTTCTGTCTGCCAGGGACAGTGTGAATATTTACCACACCACTCTTAGGCCACATTGGTCAGGCACGGAATGAACACGCCCCTCATGAGGGCTGGCATGGCTTCTCTGGGGAGGCGGGTCACGTGAGCTGGTATGGACGATTTCTCGGGCCGCCTGTGGCCCTTGCACGGCACCTGCCCAACCCGTGAAAATGGAAGCGCAGACTCCTGTTAGTTAAACACAGGCTTCCGCTTGCCGTATTTAGGAGGTTGTGCAGGCATGACAGAAAGACTCCCCCCCCCAGCTCATGACCGAGCTCCTGAGAGCGTCGTTTCATGTGGCAGGAGTCCTGCCTGTCCCTGCTGCCCTTTCTTTCCCTCCAGTTGACTGGCCGAGAGCCCCGCTGGGCAGGAGCCGGGGACACTGTTTCCTCATGACAATCTCCCCCTCTTTCAGTCAGTGGTGCCAAGGGCCTGTCCGTCAACGACTTCTACTCGGGCCTGGAGAGCGCCGGGTGGCTGCGCCACATCAAAGCCGTCATGGATGCTGCCATCTTCCTCGCCAAGGTGCCTCTTCACCCCCACCCTGTTTGGGGGTTCTGCTGCCACGGGGAAGGAAGGGGTTGAGGACCTGGTTGCTGGTATCTCGTCGGGTCAGGGAGCCTGGATGACGTCGGTGGAGGCTCACTTCCGTGCGATGCTCTCAGATATCACGGAGCCCTCTGTGCAGGCGCGTCTAGAGAACGCCTCAAGCCAGAGCGTTGTCATCCTGTTGCGTCTTCCCTGCCCACTTTGCGATTGGGTTCTGGGTTTGGGAAACTGTGCGGTGAGGACCTCACCTGGCCGGTGAGCTGGAGCGCTTCCCTGAAATGAGCCACAGCTCACGTGGTAGAAGGACACCGCCCTTCTGACCGGTGGCTACTGATGTGGGGCTGGTTTCCCAGCCACCCACGTAGGTTCACAACCCCCTTCCTTTCCAGCCTGCTGGCTCCCACTGCCTCGTGGGCTTGCTGGGAGGACTCAGAGGACTTGCAGTGTGGACAGGCTGGTGACCACTGACAGCTCACAACCTATTGGGAGACGCAGGAGGGGGCGCCCAGTGTGCGGGGCGGGAGGGTGTCCATCCTGGAGCTTCCTCAGCCCACAGCTGTCCTCGTCAACCAGGAAGCCCTCAGTGTCTTCATGCTCTGGCTTTCATTGCCCAGTCCCGCAGGATCACTTGAATCGCAGCTCCTGGTTGATGTTGACTTTCCAGGTGTGTCCACTCACCAGCCCCGGACACCCAGGTACTGCAAGGACAGAGGCTATCTCCAGCTCAGCTCCCCACCACCGAGTCTCTTCTGACTCATAGCAACCCTATGTGACCGGGTGGAACTGCCCGTGTGGGTTTCCGGGACTGTAAGTGTTTGAGAATGGAAAGCCTTAGCTCTCTTCCACAGAGTGGCTGGTGGGTTTGAACTGCTGACCTCGCAGTTATTAGCCCAACACAACCATTATGCCACCAGGGCTCCTACCAAAGGTGATCGTACTTAGGGTAAGAGTAGGCCCCTTCTTCCGAAGATACCTGCTGATTGACACCTAAAAGATGCCCTGTGACCCTGTGGGTAAAGAGTCCACACCACCAGCCACAAAATTGGTGATTTAAACCCACCACCCACTCCCTGGGAGAAAGCTGAAGATCGACTGTCTCAGTCACCCTCGGGAGCAGCTCTCTGAGCCCCTGTGGGGTCATTAGGAGTTGGAATTGGCTCAGTGGCCGTGGGGCGGGGTTATCCCAAAACCAAGCTCACTGCTCTCAGGTTGATGCTGGAGCACCGCTCCCGGGAGCACAGAGTAGAAAGGCTTCACACTGCCTCATCTTTCTCCCTCAGAGCGGCTGATGGGCTTAAACTGCTGATCTTTTGGTTAGCAGTCACGTGCTTAACCCCTGGTCTTCCAGAGCTCCTTTCCTGCTAGTTAAAAGCCCAAAACCAAACTCACTGCCACCGAGTGGATTCTGATTCCTAGTGACCCTATGGGACAGGGTAGAACTGCCCCTGTGGGTTTCCGAGACTGCATCTCTGTACTGGAGTAGAAAGCCTCACCTTTCCCCTGGGGAGCTGCTGGTAGTTTCAAACTGCTAACCTCGTGGTTGACAGCCCAACTCTGTAGCCAGTTTGCCACCAGAGTGTACATGTTAACTTAGCTCCCCGAGTGGGTGCAAACTGTGTACAGCTGTGTGTGTGCTGTCTGTCGCCTCAGGCAATCACGGTGGAGAACGCCAGTGTGCTTGTGCATTGCTCTGACGGCTGGGACCGCACGTCTCAGGTCTGCTCCCTCGGCTCCCTCCTCCTGGATCCCTACTACAGGACCATCAAAGGATTCATGGTGAGTGCCCACTCTGCTCCCGGGGCTGGGAACCTGTTGTCTGCCAGGGCCCTGCTCAGACCGTGCTGGTCAACATGTAACGCACTCCCCCCTAATGTGATGCTGGAGCTGCTTCTCTCTTAAGAGGTGAGGGATGTTAGCTGGTGGTGGACGTTCCCCACCCCTGGGATGGGCCCTCGCTTCTCAGGTCACAGCTGATGGGAATGGTTTGGTGGAGCTCAAGTGAGGTCCAAGGTGGCCCCCAGACTGCCTCTGTCCGACAGCCTCCCCTGCAGACTGGCCTGTCCAACATCGGCCAAGGACCCAGGACCATGGGCCCCAGCCTGTCTGTCTGGCCAGCCAGCCTCTTGTGCAACAGGCACAAGCTTTTACATTGGAGGAACGTCATTTGTACTTTTTCTTCCCTCTGAAGTGTCATGGTAGCGGTTCAGCAGTTCTCAACCAGTGGGGCGAGACCCCTTTGGGGGTCCAACAACCCTTTCACAGGGGTTGCCTGATTCATCACAGTAGCAAAATGACAGTGATGAAGGATCAATGAAGATCATCTTATGGTCGGGGGTCAGCACAGCATGCAGAACTGTATGAAAGGGGGGCCCGGCATTAGGAAGGTTGGGAACCACTGGGTTAGATGAAGCTCACTGCTCCTGTGAGATTTCTTGTCTCGGGAGTCCGGTGGAGCAGTTCCACTCTGTCCTGGGCAGGGTCTCCATGAGTCAGAGGCGACTCCTTGGCAAGGGGTGAAAGAACTCTTTTGGGGCAGTGGACTGGACTAGGCATTGGTCTGCAAACTGCAAGATTAGCAGTGCAAACCCACAGGCCGCTGTGCAGGAGAAAGGTGAGGCTGGCCACTCCCTTGAAGATTGACAGCCATGGAACCATGCTATAGGATCACTTGGAGTTGAAATCAACTTGGCAGCGGTGGGTTTGATTTTAGTTTAAAATGTGAAAACAGAAATGGTGGATATCTCCTCTCCGTTTTTAATCTTAAGACAGAGATAAATGCACTTAAAATAATTATTTTCTGAGAGACTTTCCATTTAGAGCTCCTGAATTGGTTAGGAGGCCCGTTTTATCCCTGAGATTAAATTTCTAGTTGAACAGGTGATCTGCTTTATAAAGACTGACTCTGGCAAAGGAATGGCTGTTTTCAGGATGTGTGCCTTAACTCATGGCATGTAAGGGAAATGAATAGAGGTCAGGACATTTTTATCAGCCTAGAATGACTAGATGTAGCGAGGTTTGGGGAGGAAAGCGGTGGCTGTCTACTCTTGTAAAGAGTCACAGCCTAGGAAACCAGAGACCCCTGTCCTCTGTCCTTCGGTTGGATGTCAGGGAGGGAGAGGGTGGGAGGTTTCTGGATCACCCTGTCCCCTCCGCAGTAGGTCGGAGTGCTGCTAATGAGCGTCATGCAGCCAAACAGCAGAGCTTGCCTAGAGAGCAAAGCATAAGGATAAAGCTTGGCTCAGACGGCCAGGTTTGCTGGCGCCGTCTGCTGGAGCGCCAGGTGAAGTCCCGGCCACTGAGGAGACACCGGCAACAATCCGAGCGCTTCCTGGTGGTAGGAGCAGTGGGAACGGAAGTCTCCTTTTGGAGGTTGTCAGTTAAGGGGTGGGGGCGGGGTGGGGTGTCGAAGTTTCAGAGGAAATAGAAAGCTTGTCTTTGCTTTGAGGAGCAGCGAGTGGTTTTGAACTGCTGACCTTGCAGTTAGCAGCCTAACTTGTAACCTCTGTGCCACCAACGAATTTTTCCTAACCCTTTATCTATGTAGATTTGACCCTCATACATATGAAAGTTTAAATGTAGGCAGAAGGCCGTTTTGTTGTTGTTTTTTTTAAATATAATGAATGCAAATAAAAGCATCTTAATCACAAGACAGCCGTTTCTTTCCCTGTATCATTTTCACTTTCTCAGCACCAGCTCTAATCTACTCCTCCCCCAACCATAAATGAAATGTAATCCTGATTTTAAGCTGTAGGATGTAGCCCGTCCCAGAGAGAAACATGGGAACTGTGCTTAAATGGCTGTCACTTTTTCTTACTAAGGTTTTAATACAAAAAGATTGGATCTCCTTTGGACATAAATTTTCAGAGAGGTGAGTCCCGAGCATGTATTTATTTATTTTTAAAGTTAGTGAAACTTGTCTAAATGGCAGATAAGGGTCTGTGTTGTTTGAGCGCTCAGATCAGAGGGTGTGTGTGTGCACACGTGTGTGCATGTGTGTGTGTGTGTGTGTGTCAAGTGCATGCAGGGTGGGGGTAGTTATGCTTTTGGACTAAGTTACACAGACTGGTCGGATGTCTGTTCCTCGTTTCTTTCATCTTGTAAACTCTGAGAACCACTGTTGCTCTGTGGCTATCCACAGTCTTCCTTTTGGGCTGGTTGTATGTAGTGTTTAGAAGGGACACGGCCCTGAAAGTTCTATCAAAAAAAAAAAGTTCTATTAATGGTTTCAGTGGAAATATTACCGTTCTTTTGTGCTGAGGTAACGGTGCTTGAGAATGTGTTTGTTTGAGGAAATGTGTTTAAATGTAGAGATACCTGAACAATGGATGCCTTTTAAAAGCTTGTGCTTTTTTGGGGGGCTAGGTGTGGCCATTTGGACGGTGACCCAAAGGAAATCTCACCCGTGTTTATTCAGTTTTTGGAGTGTGTATGGCATTTGACCGAACAGTTTCCACAAGCCTTTGAATTCAATGAAGCGTTTCTTCTTCAGATCCACGAACACATTCATTCTTGCCAATTTGGAAACTTCCTTGGAAATTGTCAGAAGGAAAGAGAAGAGCTCAAGTGAGTTGATTTGATTGTAGTATATTTCTTTTTTGTTCCTCTTGAGTCCTACTTACTTGAGGCCTCAGGTAAATCATTGTTAAACTCAAATACTTAGAACGGTATGAGATAGAACTGATGTTGATAGTAATTATTTTACTGCCTGTATTTCTGACGTTAAGTACTCTAGAGATTCCTTCAGTCTCTCAGACTAATGGAAAGTACGTCTTTGTTTAAATTAAAAAAACAAAACTAAACAGAAAAACCAAACCAAACTCACTGCCCTCCTGTCGGTTCCCGTTTATATCGTGTCTGTAAGACAGAAGAGAACTTCCCTGTGGGTTCCTAAGGCTGGAGCTCTGTATGGGTGTGGAAAGCCTCGTCTTTCTCCTCTGGAGTGGCTGGTGGGCTTGAACTGCTGACTTTGGGGTTAACAGCCCAACTATAACCCACTATACCATCAGGGCTCCTTGCAGAAAAGTACTCCTCCACCCTAAAATATAAAAACAAAACACAACAACGAAATGAACAACTCAACTGCTAGTGAGTCGATTTCAACTCATAGCAACCCCATCAGACAGGGGAGAACTTCCCCTGTGGGCTTCTGAGACTCTAACCCTTGAAGGGAGTAGAAAGCTTTGTCTTTCTCTCTCTGAGCTGCTGGTGGTTTTGAACTGCTGACCTTACAGTTAGCAGCCCAATGTGTAACAACTACGGCACCAGGGCTCCTGTGCAGTAGGGTGAAGGGCACCCTGGTCTTAGGAGTTTAGATTTTGTTGAGTTTCAGATTCTTGGGCATACCCACCCACCGCCATTGAGTCAGTTCTGACTCATGGTGACCCTAAGGACAGAATAGATTTGAGGCTCTAAATCCATGGAATCAGAGAGCCTCATCTTTCTCCCATGGAGCAGCCTGTGGTTTTGAACCACTGACCTTGCCAGTATCCAACTGTGCTGCGAGGTCACAAAACTGTCAAGGAATTTTAAGACTTTAGCTGGGTGCTGACGTAATTTGTAACCAGCTGTTCGTCACACTCGAAGCAGGTGACTTCTTGGAGTAAAGAGCTATTTTAGGGGAGAAGAATAGCATTTTCACAGATGGTACTAAGAGTAATGATATCTTGCAGTCTTTCCTGAGAAAATAGTGGGGTTATCTTAGGGGTCCCAGCTTTCAACTCCTTTCTTGCCCCGCTCCCACCCATGTTTGCTCGGTAGGCACACTACCCTAAGCCGTTCCACTCGGACTCACTGGCTGTCCTGATTTTGCCCCCTCTCCGCTGTGGACCCGCTTACACTGACGTCTGATGCGGCTGGCATGCTTGCCGCTGCAGGCCACACAGGGAGAGAGAGCTGCTGCTTATTCCAGCTGGAGGTGCGGGTGGGGAGGTAGCAATTGTCTAGCTGAGACTGGGAGGGGAGAGAGAAGCCTCCTAAGGCGTATGGTCATGAGGGAAAGTAGTATTGCCCGCGGGCTGTGTTTGAGACCTGTGATCCAATTAGGGACCTGAAGAGGGGGCGAAAGGAGAAGATGACACCAAATGTGTAGACAGGGCGAGGTTAGACGGTGGACAGAAGGCCAAAGCTTGCCTATCCTTTGAATCCAGTGGCCCGAGTTAGAGAACTGAAGGGCGAGGCCAGTTACTTTGCAGCAGTAGGAAGGTCCTGACACTTTTCTGATGGCCTTTCAGGTTGGAGGAGAAGACTTACTCCCTGTGGCCGTTTCTTTTGGATGACCAAACGAAGTACCAAAACGCCCTCTACAGCTCCCCGCCGCACAGACTGACGGTCTTGGAGCCTAGCACGGTGTCTTTCCAGTTCAAGTACGTTGGCGCCTTTGACCCCTGCCTGGCTGCTTGTCCCCACGCTGCTTCCACTGAAGCTTTTTCTCTCTCCAGGTTTTGGAGAAGCATGTACCACCAGTTTGACCGAACCTTGCACCCCCGGCAGTCGGTGTTTCACACGGTGATGGCCATGAGTGCGCAGAACAAACAGCTGGAGAAAGAGCTGAGAGACCTGGAGTCTGTAAGTACCCTGCGGTTGCGGACACACCTGGCACATGAAGTGGTGGTCTTTCCCTGGGCTGCCAGGGCCAGGGACTATACAAGACTTTAGTTCTAAGAGAACTAAAAGGTTAAGGCTCCTTCCCTGCCATGCTCCTCAGCACCAGGTTTTTGAGATGTTATCCTGCATCGTATGCAAAACCTCCAGACACACAGCTTTGCGTTGTTCCCCGCTTGCATGTCCTGGCCCTATGCAGGGTGGGATGTGCAGCTCGTAACCCGTCTCCCATCTGGCTTGTCGTAGAAACTTCAGCAGCACACAAACAAGCAGACAGCTGGTGTCCTCACCAAAGAACAGCTGCACTCGGTTCGGCCCGACTCACCTGCTCTGAAAGCGTCCCTGTGCCTGAAAGAGCAGGCTCTGCTCCCAGTGGCCGACGCCCTGCGGACGATAGAGGGCAGCGAGGCCACCGACAACCGCTACAGCGACTACGCCGAGACCTTCGCCAAGGCCGAGCCCGGCGTGGTCAGCCTGGAGTACGGCGTGGCAAGGATGACCTGCTAGATGCCCCGCGGGGGTAGGGTGAGATGGATAGAGGGTGGGTCACCGGGAGGCTTCCTGCCCTGGCAGCCTGACTACCCGGGGGGTTTTGACTGATGACCCGAGGGTTGAAGACAGGATAGCACTGCTCCTGTGAGAGGACAAGAACAAGCCAGGTTCCTGCCTCCGCAGCAAGGAATGGTGTGCGCTTCTGTGAGCAATGAGCGTTCACTTCCCTGGGAGCTTTGCTCAGAACCCCGTGCACGCTGCTGTACACTAGTGAATTGGCACTGCTCTGTGACCCCGGCCACCAGGAATGACCGGCCGTGAGCCTCGCGGAGCTGCCAGGAGCGGAACCTGCTGCGGGGGTCCTCCCTGATGATCATGTCACTCGCCATACCCGGATCCGCTTTGCCAGCTCCTCGTGTTCCACACCGCAGGACCATGGAAGCGATCTCTAAGGAGGCCTTACAATAAATCCTTCCGGTCTTTCTCTTTAGCCTTTTCCGTTTTCTAGCCCGAAGCGAGATGGGTTGGTTGGTTAGTCGGTTTTCATTGTGATAGCCTCACTGATTTGTAAAGACCTGCGTCCCCATGACGCAGAATTGCCTGAATCTTCCCCACCCTGCTGTCCCCTTTGTCCCCGTCCCCCCCCCCCCCCAACACACATACCTAGCGAACAGTGGCCCAAGTACCCATCGGCGATCCTGTGTGGCTGGTGCCCTGCCCTGCTCACAGCGAGTCAGCACCAGCGGGTCTCCCCTGAGTCAGTTTGCCCAAAGCTAGGTTGAAGGCTTGTTCTGGACAGCATAGCTCGGTTCTGGATTTCTTAAATACGAATCGAATATCCGACCGTCTTTTATATCTGGACCCCTACGTCCTGTTGGGTTTTGTCTTCTGGTTTGGCTTTATTCGGCTTTAACTTTTGAACAGATGAGGCTCTAACATGGACGTGGGACCCAGGAGGAGGACCCACTGAAGAACAAACCTGTACCACTCAGCCACGGTCTGCCTGCCAGGTGATCCAAACCCGCCTGGCTCACAAACAAGGCAGCCATTGCTCCGTGGAGCGCGTTCTTTCTTTCCATCTGTCCAACACACGAGAAGAAATGGAACATGAAAGAGAGCTTTATCTAAATTTCAAATTTTAACAAAAGCAACTTAAGCCCTGGTGGGGGGGTTCGTGTCTCCGGGGGCATGCCTTGCTTTTCCGTTCTGGGCTCCTGTATGGGTGGAAGTCTTCCAGGGCAGGCTTCTTGTGTTCTCTCCGAGTCTGTAACTGCAGCCGTGCCTACCAGTGTTTCTTTCCCTCCCCGCTGAGTGGCCTGCCAGGTGTATAGATCGGGAGCAAACGGACTGCCAGTGCATCCTATATATTGGATTGAGTTGCAGTGTGTTTGGCAATGTGTAGCATGTAAATTATTTCATGCATTATTTAAAAGTAATTAAATGTTCACATTTTACTTTGAATTTTTTGTTCTGCTTTTTCAAAAAACAAATAGAATCAAGTTCTTATGTTTTGTTTTCGATCTCTGCTAAGCAAATGGACCTGCACGATACATTAGAGTAACCGTAGCAGTCGGTAAGATTTGGGCAGCGCATAGTCTAAAGGAGGGATGTTTATAAATAATACCTGTTACACGAAAAATTTCCCAAATATTGAGAATGTTATTGGGTGTCTTCGAGTCGGCTCTGACTCTGTGCAGCAGAACACACACGGCCTGGTCCTGCCCCGCCCTCACAGCTGTCCCTGTGCCTGAGCCCAGGAGTGCAGCCGCTGTGGGCACGTATATTGACCATAGGCATCTACACCAAACTCAGCGCCATGGAATTGGCGTTGACTCACAGGGACCCTGTAGGACAGAGAAGAACTGCCCCTGGGGGTCCCTCGCCTTTCTTCCGCGGAGCGGCTGGTGGTTTCCTGCTGCCAACCTTAACAGCTAGCAGCCCAGCGCCTCAGGGTTGGCAGTCCCATAGGTAATTAATTAATCAAGTTGGATTTCCCTTTGGTACTTGATCATTTTTGGCGTTGGCATCAGTATTTGGGGGGGCCCTTAACAACTTAGTGATTGGAAGGCAAGTCAAGTGAGAGCCCACGCTTAAGGTCAAATCGCTGCCCCAGAGGAGGTGTGGGCACGAGCACTAGAAGGGACGTGGCTGACGGCGCACGCGTGGGACTTCCCGGGGGTGTTTGGGGGAGCCGTCCCCGAGGTAGGCTCGGAGTGGCGCAGGGAGCATGCAGCCAAACCCAAAGGGAAGCCGCGCCTGCTGTAGTTTGGAAGGTGGCAGGGCAAGGTCCATGGTGTCAGCCTTACCTTCCTTGAGAATGTCTGCCAGTCAGCTTAGAAGACCGAGACACTTCCCGCTGGCCTCCCAGATGGGGAAATGCCGGTTTTCTGGAACTCTACGGAGCAGACTTGATGAATGACACGGATCCACTGCCGTTAGCTGAGTTCTAGCTGTGTCGTTGGCTTTTCCATGCAGTAGTCCAGTTGGCATTAGCATCACTTGATTGGTTAAGGTAATAACACGTTGAGCCTGGATTTAAAAATAGACATAACTAGATGTGAGGTTCAGAAAGTTGTACACAGAAAAAGACAATAGTTTAAAATGACTAGTCACCTCTAACAGAATATAATACCATCGTGTTTACTTTCCAAGACTGAAAAGAACTAATAATCGTTTTATAATAAAAACAGTGTTTGTGCTCTGGCAGTCATCTCAGTCGTCCCATATGCATGGGAAAGTTGGGCATTGAAGAAGGAAGACCAAAGAAGAATGCATGCGTTTGCATCACGGTGCTGGGGAAGAATATTGGAAGTACCGTGGACTGCCAAGAGAACAAGTTCATCTGCCCTGGAAGAAGTCCAGCCAGACTGCTGCGTAGAAGCTGGATGGTGAGACTGTGTCTCGTGTACTTTGGCTATGTAGTTGGGAGAGACCAGTCCCCGTTAAAGGGCTTCATGGCTGGTGAAGTGGACAGTCAGTAGAAAAGAGGAAGACTTGGGTAGATGGAGGGACACAGTGGCTGTGACAATGGGCTCACACATGAGAACAACCGCGAGGGTGGTGCGGCACCAGGCAGTGTGTCCTGCTGTTGTGAACGGGGGCGCCACGGGTCAGAACCATCTTGGTGGCACCTAAGTGGTTTCCAGGACAGTGCTGTCTTTGTGGTTGTCTTGCACCGCACCTTCCTAATAGCCAATGAGTAGACTCTACAGCTTTGGGCTTTAACCTTTTGATTTGGTAGGTTCAGAACGGCCATCTGGCATATTCAAAACAACACATGCATAAGAGTGCTTGCATCTCATGATAGTTCAGAGATGATGATGCTCAAGGGGAGAGACACACTGCAGAACTCGATCCCCAGCCTCTCTCTCCTTAAAGGGCGGCCGATGTACTCTTGTACAAAGAGCTGTACAAGCGGGGCGGGGGCAAGGGTGCAACATGCTGTGGTAGATTGGACCGAGTACCAGTGTGAAATAAACCTTGGTGTACAGCAACGGAGACTGTGAGTTCTTTATTACTGCAGTATAACCCCGTCCATCCTCTGAGAAACCATTAGCAACTGAAGAAATCAATAAATCCTTAACATTACCAGAGGTTCAGTCCTTCATTGACCCCAGTATGCGACTCCACCTGTGACTGGTCAGGACCCAGTTCAGGTTCACGATGCTCAGTACGTAGAGTGCATCGCATCTGGCTGTCCTCCTTGGAGTTCTTGGTCCTGAGCAGTCTCCTCCCCTTTTCTCCACTTCAGGGACTCTTGAACCAGGCCAATTGGAGACTTCTGCTTCTGTCTGATTGCCCCTGTCTGCCCTTCCTCCTGGAGAGTGGGCTCTGGCTTAGCTGCCGAGGAAGCACTCTAGGCGGGATGCTGTGCGCTCCGTACTGCAGGACTTGGGGGATGACGGGAGCTTGTTTCACTGGTGGTGACTCTGATCTTGATCACTTGCTCTCGCCTTTGAAAAGGTACACTTTTTTCTCTGCAGTATCACGTGTTGTGTGGCGTGGTCTTTGGGCATCAAGTCAATATCCCTGGCTTACCCTGCCATCTCTCCTCTTCAGTTACTGCATTATTGCGGAACGTTTTGACCCGTGAAGTGGGGAGCATTCCTCTAGCCAAGGGATGGCAAATGTTTAATTCTTTGAGTTATTAATTATCAAGAGGAAGAAGTTGGTGTAATAGTTTTTCATAAAAAAACAAAAACAATAAAAGCCATTTTCTCTCACTAGGGACATAGATTTTTGAATCAATTACACCAAATGCTCTTTTTGCCTGGATTTTTCCAAGTATGGCCAATAGGATCCCTTTGAAGGCCCTTCTGTAAACTTTTGAACGCCCCTCTAAGCTTGAGCATCAGTTTATTTCTAACACAACCGTACACCCCAGGTTCATCTTGTACTTTGCCCGAGTTTTGGAAGCAGCCGCTTCTCCAAGGAACCTTTCTTTGCTCACGGGCAATCGCAATTAGAAACCAAACTCTGGGCCTAGATGTGCTTGTTGCTAATGCTTTGTCATTGCTTCTGGGCCCTGTCAGTGGGCAGAACTGAGAAGGAATGCTCTTGGTGAATCAGGAGTATAGGTTTGGCCTATAAAGAGCTGCAGGTCAACACCCCTCCTTGCAGGAAAAAAAGCTGGGAGATCAGATCCATCAGAGACTCTGGACTCAGAACAAACTGCCAGTAACAGGGCGGAAAAAAAAAAGGGTGGCCCAG